CTACACAGAGCAATGCACCGATGGCTCTTTGACGCGTCATTGGCCTTATTCAAAATAAAAATAACGCGAGAGCAAATTATGCCGTTCTTCAACCGCAAACTTCAACAAGTCTTGTTAATATATTCGTTAATTTCTTCTTGATTACAAACAATGCATAGATATATCTATTAAATGTTGGATATGCAGAAGCATATTTATATGTTTATTTTATGAATTATTTAAACATTAATTTAATGTGTTTTTTTCTTTTTTTTTTTTTGAGTCTGAAAGAGCAAGTTTCGCAAGACATTTGTTTAAGCGAGTGTTTCTGGAATTGGTCGAGACAGATCGGAAAGCTATATACTTATACGGTGTACCGTTTACGCATTCCTCTCGCGCCGGTCTAATGCGCGTTTCTAGCTGCAAACTGTGTGTATCTCATGAGGGCCCCTTTTCTGTCCCATTCCCGGCCCCGCCGTCTTCTTTCCAACGCGGCCAAACGTCTTCAGCTCCTTTCTGCGCGCTGACGTGTACCAGAAGAATGCTCGTGTTCTCTTCCGAGTGGCCTGATCGTTCGTTGTTTTATTCAAGTAGCTGACAAACTAGCACTGACGGTCGCTGTAAAACTCGCCGTCGAACAAGAAGCGGTTTTACCGCGGTTAGACCATATATTTTCGCGTTGTGAAAACACATTCCATCACGTTTACAATCGTCTCTTAACTACGAGACAACGTTTTAATCGACATGTGTCTGCTGATTTCATTTTTGTAATGCTGTTTTCGTTGTCATCCGCGTTCAGAGTGAGGCATCAGACATGTCTGAAATAATATGGCGTTGATGAACGAGACGGATTTACGGAATAAATAAAGTGGAAAATCGGGAATTGCAGTTTGTAGAGGTGTTCATGAGTACTTGCACTTATTTATGGTACAATTTATATTTCGAATATAAATTCGCAATTCTTTCTCTCTCTCTGCAAAATTGCATCCACAATATATAAAAGAAAAAAACATTCATGCCGTTATTCAATTATAAAAAAAGGACAAATTATATTCTGAAAGACGTTTCACGACAGAATCACAGGAAACGAACCCAAGTGGTTTTCGTCTTTGCGTTTCAATGGCGTCGCAAATTCTCATCGAGGGCGACCGCTTACTTCGAATGCGCCGTAGAAACTCAGGCCCCTATACTGAGGCCCCCAGACACAATGAGCAATGGAAGAAACATTCTCTGGGCTTGACCTCACACGACTTGTCACTTAAGTCTCACACACATACGCGCGCGAACGCAAGCACGTTCGCGCACGTGCTGCTAAGTATGCGTGAGTGCGTGCGTACGTGCGTACGCACGTACTACTTGCATTCGTGCGTGTTTCTTTAAAGCGTTTATCGTCGCCCGCCGACAGCGAACAACCTCGTCACTCCCGGCTGAGTTTGCTTATTTATGCATGAGTCCCGTATATAAGACGATAAAATAGAGCGCCATTCGCGCGCAATCGGCTCTCCTCTAATTGCCGGTGAATGATCTTTCGATGAACCGACTGATATTGAGAGGCATTCAAGCTCTGTGTTCTTAATTAAGATCATTATCATTTGCTTTTTAATAGGTTCTTAATTAAGAGATTGCGAAAAACAGCCTTTGAAAATGTTGTAAAATGCTTTTTGCAAAAAATTCACTGGAAAGAGAAAGATTTTAATGCGTAAACAAAACTTTAAAGAAATAAATTTTGTACAACTTAGAAAATATAATTGTTTATTTTTCACACGACCGATTATCGATGTCGGAAATCGTGAGCTTTTTGTTCAAATCGCGCACAATGGACACGCTCACATTATCGCGGAGAATAACGCGTTCCGCCCTGACCATGAGGCACACGCATACAATTACACATAGGGTGTGCACGCAGCCGTGATTGTATACGTTAATAGACACATGTATATATGGTGGACGACATCAGAGGTGCCAGATCATAGCCTGAAATCCTCTCTCCTCTCCTATCACAACTGCTTTCTGTATACTAGCATACAAAAAATAATAATAATGAAAGAGGGGAAAGATTTCGGGCCAGGATCTGACACGACACTTATGTCCGTAAGCGAAAGAGACCGCTCGCACTAACACACGCCAGATGGTTCTAACAATCACTACACGATCTCTCTGTCTGAAATTGCATACACGGTGGGATCAGAGAAAAAAGAAAAATCATTTAAAAATAAATAAATAAATTCAAATAAATTCAAAACTTCTCGGCATATGAATTGATTTTTAAAATTAAAAAAAAAAAATAAAATAACACTTCAAAGTTAAAAAAAATATTTTCGATTTTGAGAAATTTGGTTGAATATTTATTCATAGATCCTCTTCTTTGGTGACACCGAGTATGTACAGGTACATATGCGCACGTGTGTTGTACCCGCGGCACGCACACGCGTGTGACGCCTTCCACATGACAGCGTGTGAGCGTGAAGCTCGAGAGGGCCTTTCAGTTTATGCCGAGACCGCGCGCGATGTAGACTCCGCGATTTCCAAAACGAAACGTGGAAACGTAAGCGATTGCGAGAAAATCCGCGTCTCGCAAAGGAAAGACACAATTGGTGACTGATTAACGTCGGTCTGACATCAACACAGATCGGGCCGAAATGATAACTTACATCATCGGTTTCTTTTTGCACTGTTGCGCTTCAAGCTGCGGATAATGTGTCTGGACAAACTCTTCAAATTTGTGGTGATCAAAAAATCATCTATTGAATTCTGTAAGAAACGGCAACCAAAAATGACAAAAATCTTGACAACAACGAACTGATTCTGCAAAGATCGAACAATCCAACTGATATTAAAGTGATATTAAGACAATTACGTGATTCACCCAGTGTAAAAGTCACCCAGTGTAAAAATTACAAAGCTATATTTAAATTCATCCAATCTAATAAGAGAGATGTTATTAAGACAAAGAAGATTATTGAAATTGCTGGTGATTTTCCGTAATCTACGGAATTAATACGGGATTTACATGCAGCTCCGTGATGCCGGTGGATGTTAAACACATTCCTCCCAAGACACTCCGTGTTAACAACGTCGACCTGTTCCAGGATTACGCCACCTTATCGATCTCAGATTAAATTATCTCTCAGAGACAACAGAGTGTTAAAATAGACAGAGATAATTGCAATCTGAAAAACACAAGCAACATCGAGAAATGTTAATCTATTGAACAAAATGGTACTTGTCTTAAAATAATGTTGTCTTAAAATATTCAGCGTGTGTTTTCAAATAAACATAAAAAATTTTGTGAATATGAGAAATAAGTGTGACTTTATTATTTTATAAAATATATATTGTGAGAACCACGACATGTTGAAAGTTTTAATTAACTATTTTCTTAATTAAAAGTGAAATGTATTTTTAAAGTTGAAGAAATATATAGATATATGTTATAAGTGCACATTTTACTCCAAATTATCTTCTCTGTGAAGTATTCCAAAAATTTCCACAGAGTTCAGATAAAGAAGTTTTATACGTAAAACTTAACGTTTTACGTAAGATTTAACTTTTGGAGACATAAAGCATGTCGTAAGAACGTATGTATAAACAAACTCCTTGATATACTTCCTGATATCGTGTACTAAAAAATATTTAAACATTGATATTAATAAATGATACCAAAGTTGATGTTACGATCCACACACACACGAGTTCGCTGACACGAGCTGACGTTAATTAAGAAACCAATTAAGCAGGCGGCGGGCTCATCAGCCGTGCATCGTCTCACAATATACACGTAGTGACCGAAGGAGTGCATCAACGTCCGGTCGATGCGGCCTCGTAAAATCGGGCGCATCCGGAGATACGAGAAGTGAAAGTTCGTTTTGCACAAGATGACGGTAACCCCGTCGTCGGGGTAACCCGGGCTGGCGCAAACCGGTGTCGGTGCTCTTCGGCGCATCAGTGCGTTGCAACGCACCGACGTCGTCGCGTCGCAACGACGCTCGTGAAGTGAACTTGGTAATTGCATCGGCGTTTAATAAATGCATTAAGGTGATAAATTTGACCCGGCCTGACACCTCCATTACAAAGTTCGTCGTCGACGTCACTAATTCACGGAGCCTTCAACGTCAGTAACTGTGACGGTGTAATACAGTGCGCGCGTAATGTTTCGATCAAAGTTGCTTTTCAGAGTGAGTCCGGGTGGAAAAAAAAGAAGATTATTGACCTCGCGAGAGTGACATTACGAAGAAGTCAGCTTCGTGGATAGTCTCTTCGTCTTCCGACCACGTGGACGTCGCGACATGGAGACTATATTGAATTGTAATCATGGTTTGAATTGTATAGCTTGCGATGAAAGGTGTAATTGAGAGTCGGTATGCGCAATCGGGGAAGTAATAAGGAATTGGCAAACAGAATTTTTGTAATTGACGTGACGAGAATAAGCACGAAAGATGCTTTTTATTACTTCTTTTTTTTTTAACGATTTGATAATAAGTAAAGTGTTTTTATTTACTTACAAATTTGATATTATTATTTGATGATTTATAAATAATAATATACGTTTATAAAAACTCTACCAATCTTATTATATTTTATTTTACCTTTTTTTTATAATTATACATACATTTTAATAATCATACACACAATTTTATTTTGGAACAATAATATTTTCAAACAACAATACACTAATATGTTTCATATCCGTGCACAAATCGCTGCCCTGCCTCTGGCGTTGTTTTGTTTCCGATAGTGTTCTATCGTTACCGTTACATTCATCCATGTCGTGACGTGTCTTTTCATCAGACTCGACTCGTTATCTCGGCGTGTAAATAGAAAAATGTCGTACCATCTCGCAGGGAAGAGATAAGTGTTTCCGGTCGTTAAAGCCTGTGACGACCAAGAAACGAAACGGTTATTTTTTTGTTTTTTTAAAAACGATGCTTCGCAGCGGTAAATGCATTTTCGGTTGAGCGAGAATCAATGGTCCTTATCCTGAGGATCACATCCTGAGCACTGAGTTTTCGTCTCTATTTCAGATTTAAACCTGTGGAACAAGAGCATCAGTCAGCGTTGGCGGAAACTGCGTCGAAGATGCTCCGTGCAGGAGTCGTCGGAGCCGCAGGAGGCGTTGATACAGGGTGGAGGAAATCGCGGTGTTATACACGCTGTAAGATCGACACCGGCTAGCAGAGAAGCCTCTCCGGCTGCGAAGAGTCTTCAGGATGGTAGCTCGCCGAAGAAGTTGCTGCAGACTAGCTCTTTGAGGTTGCCAGGTAAATTTCGATGGAATTCTGTCTTTAGCTTTTCTGAAATCTTATTAAAATTGTGTATGTGTGCATGTGTCGCTGCTTCATAATTTACGTTCTATTTTCAGGTACGACGAAAGGCATCGCCGATATCCAGCACGTGCTGCGCAGCAAATTCAGCAAGATCAACGCTGGCATCAGAAAGCGGAAGGCTCTGAGCGTGACGGAAGTATTTCCTCCACAGAAAGACAACGCGTCCAATTTTTATGTGCCAAGTCCGCTCACCTCATCATCCAGTCAAACTTTTGAAGATAATCGCTACGATTCGAGCGAGCCCACATCCCTTCCGCCCTATCCTTTCCACGACAACCTGGAAACTTTAGCGGAGAGTAGCGTTCCAAACTCGCCACATTGCGCCAGTCCGCTAGCCGGTAACACCGGCGGCAACACCTTCAATTACTCGGAGAGCAGCTACGAAACGAAAGGCGACTTCTACGAGAACGTGACGTTTCTCTCCAAATCTTCTTCATCGCGGATTCAACCGGTTCTTCAACGTAGCAACTCGGAAAATCGCGAGGCCAGCGGTGTGCACGATCATTCTTACGAGAATGTGCGTTTCCAACGTAGCAGTCAGAGAAACGAGTTGGCCACAGGAAGTCCTTACGTCGGTAGACACTTGGCCAGAAGCAACTCCGAGACGAGAGATCATTCGTATGAGAATGTGCACTTCCAGAAAAACATTAGAAATCAGTCGGAACCGTCGTTCGAAGAAATACACATACCTAGAGTGACGCCCAGAAAGAGATCCATCGACTTCAAAGTCGGTGGAGAAGTGAACAATTACTCGGGCGAGACTATCTTGAGCACCGGAGGCAGCATCAAGGAAGATGCACCGACTAGTTTGGGTATGGAAAGAAGTCCCAGCAAAAGAAATCCGAGAAGACTTAACAGCAGGAGCGTCGCAAACATTCCCAGCTCTTCGGGGACTCATTTGAAAACTTGGCAAGTGAGTAGACTTCATTCGAAAGAGTTTTTTAATAGTTTTTGAAAAATTACAACTTTAGAACACGTTTATATTTTTTTTTCTGTCGGTGTTATTTTTTTTTAAAAAAAAGGACAAAATTGATTTTCTAGGGTACTCAAGATGCGGACGAGGGTCTGAATACGGATTCGGAGCTCGAGGACATCGACGAGGGCGCAGAGGGCGAGGAATCGCGCTTCTGCACTTTGCCAAGACCCGGTAAGAGCGGCGCTTCTTTCACGATACTGACCGCCCGATTTCTCAAGGGTCCCGGGCACAAGGGACTCGGCTTCAGTATCGTCGGTGGCACCGACAGTCCTCGCGGGACCATGGGAATATACGTAAAAACTGTTTTTCCCAATGGTCAAGCCGCTGACCTGGGTACTGTTAAAGAAGGTAAAGAAAAGCATGTTAACGACGTTCTGTTTAAAATCTTGCCGTCACGAAGATAATTGACAAAAAAAAAAAATTTGATACGCTTGCAGGGGACGAAATTTTGTCGATAAATTCGAAACCTCTTCACGGTATGACTCACGCCGAAGCAATCGCCGAATTCAAGTCCGTGAAAGCCGGTGACGTTGTTCTGCACGTGGGACGTCGAGTGAACAAGAAGAAAAGGGATTCTCTGACTCTGACTCCGGTTAATCCTTCTGTTTCGAGGCAGTCCGTCAAATAAAGTCACACGAAAATCGCGACGAGCGGTTTTTTGTTTGCCGAAAAACTTACTCGATCTTTCGCGCCTTGCGAGTATTCATAGCAGCAGTACGCGCGTATGTAATTTTGCGTCTGTAGTAAGTTTCAGTTAAATTATTAAAAATTTAATGAACGTACTCAAACATATCTATAAATTTTTGAAGAGAAGTTTTGAATGTGAGGAAGCGCTTACGATCGCGAATGGAGGTATTGTTGAAGCAAGCGATTTTTATCAAAGTTGACACTAATCTGATGACCGCTTTCAAACATGATACACTTATGAAGAGCGAGTCGATGTGATAAGTATCTCACTCCTCTCTGCTAAACATAATCAAACGAGTCGAGTGCTGTCTAATCAAAACGCGTTTTAATCATACGTGATCAATGTACACTATGTCGAACGTAAATATTATTGATAAATCATCGTGTAATGTTATCTCTAAAGTTATTAGAGATATCGGTGTAGCAAAAGATCGTTCAAGCTTTTAGCTCAATCGCATTTTTCTACTCGCGTAAATATACATATATTTAACATAAATTTAATAATACAAAATAAAAGAAAAAAAATATGGCTTATATAATAATCAATAAAACACTTGTGCGCGCAAAATAACGTTATATAGAGCTACAATACTACGCAACGAAGTCCTCCATACATAGTGATTAACAGACGATTTATTTTTATAAAGTGAACGAGAATATTCCGCGACTTTTGTACAATTAATGACGAGCAAAGTGACATTTATCTTTGCTAAATCAACGAAATGAAACAAATCGATCGCGAAGTATCAATTGTATGAGGAACGAATTAAAGCATGCCAAAATCGCAAAAGTCTAGGTTCAAAGAAAATATAAGAACTTTAAAAATGGCATAAGATAGTAACATTTTTTAAATGAAATAATAACAAATTATGTTTTATGTCTCTAATTGTATATATCATTTTTACTCTTAGACACAAATTAAGTATTTAAGAAAGACGTTTTTCGTCATTTTCAATGGTGCTTAGAAGAATCATTTTTATGCGGATGACTTTTGCGATCCGATGTAAGAAGAAAAGGATGCATTACTGCAGTGGTAAGAAACAAATTATTTTTTAACGATAGACTAACGAAGATCGCCCAAAGATGAAGCCCAAAAAATATTTTTACTACAAAGACGAAAGACATGAGTAGATATGTAGAGAGAGAAAGAGAGCGAGAGCGAGAGCATGTGTGTATAAATATATAATATATATATATAAAGCAAAACACGCGTGTTACTCTGAGAGGAAGCAACATTATTAGTATCTAGTCGATTTGTAATATTTTGTTTTTTGAAAGCTTTTTTTATAGTTGCAACGACGAAAGAAAACAAAGAAGTTTTATATATAATATACAAACGCATTATATATATATTTCTTATATTCATTTTTTAAGATATAACAAATAATTATATATTCAATTAATAATAATAATGATTAAGATATAATAATGATTAAGATCGCCGTTACTTATCCGACGATGTTGTACTGCGGAGATATGCTCCGAAGAATAAATAAAAAAACATCGATTCCAGATGTATCAATATGTAAATCTTAAATAAGTAACAGAAAAAGAAAAGATAAAAATTTAACTTATACAATTTCCAAAGTAAAGGACATTTTATGAAAAATTCAACATTCCGCTTGAAGACTTTTGCATTTCTCTTAGGGACTTTAATGTATGTGTACAATTTACACAAAGTTACATATATATATATACTGTCTTTACTCGTTCGTGATCATCAAATCTTACTTGATCTTGTAAGACATACTTAGATTTAAGAGACTTATAAACTTGCACATTATTCCGGCCATTAAGCGGCTGATCGCAGCTCTCTCTGTCTTCCAGACTTTTTTAATATTTTTAATTACTTTGTGACCGATTTTCTCCGGACCGTGCAATTGTTCAGTTTTTCACATTTATAATTTATATATTTCAAATATATTATTATTTATATAATGTTAATATGACGGAACATTGTAAATTAAATAACAACAACTGAATGTAGACACACTAGATCAAGTTTTAAGTCAAATAAATAATATTCTTAAATTTGATAAATAACACTCTTAAATACTTTAACTACAAATATCGCAATTGTCAAAAGCCAACGTTCAAATTTAAATTTGAGTGTGTCATTTATTTGGCTTAAAATATCTCAACTTGACTCGTAAACGCTTTTGTAGATTCAGTTGTGGATTTACCATGACAAACCTGTGAAAAATTTTCTCTTTATCAAGAAAATTATTTCTTTTAAAATTTTCTCTCTATATTGTCAATATTGCGCTTCCCAAACAAACTTCATCATTTTTGTAAAACTACATATAGATCTTTGATATATTATATAGCTGATGGCATTCAAAAATAATTTACAATAAAAAGAATAAAACAGAACGACCTTGTCAAACAAGTTTTTATTTAACATTGCGCGTTAAGATATACATATACATGGTGTACACAATTACATATTTTATTCGAGTATCGCACTGAGAAAGAGCTTTGCGCGTAACGATTGCGTATTACTGCGAACTAACAGAGGAACCTCATTAACAATATATTTTTTTAGCGTTTTAATTGATAATATTAATTACGGAATGCCGTGGAATAATACTCGAAAAAACTTACTTTCTCAAAAATATAATTAATCTTTTGATACAATGTGGTTTTTGTTTTCAATAAAACAATTCTGTGTATATACTTTTGACGTTTGACCGTGTACGGTCTGCAGCAGAGCAAGTGCATTTTGCATCTTTGCATATGTACAAGCGGTGCGAAACTAATTATTATCATATTTTTCACATTTTTATTAAGCGGGCTCGTAAACGCGAGAAATAAATAATATACATATAATATAAAACCACTTGTTGTTTATATTATTAGACAATGGTTATCTAAAAAAATACGACACATTGTCTCTCGTGATTTTTTTTCTTTTTTTTCCTTTCAAAATAAGTAGTGTATCACAAAACAAAGTTAACGCAACTGATTTGATATTTCTCGATAAACCATAGGATCGTGTATGTTTTTAGTCAAGATCTTGATAAAATAATAATTATTGAAAGTTGGTATCATCGCGACAGAAGTGACGATCACAGAGTGAAATCGACAGCAAACGTGATCACAATCGCGAGAGATCGTAATGACGGAGCTGGGCTACTGCATTTAAGTGCATTAAAGTACATGTGCAATGTAAATAGTTAAAAGGAAATAATTGTAAATACACAAAAATAAAACATTTTAAACATTATGTGCACATAGTGGAATGCCTGAAAATACAGAGTGTAAAAAATAGAGAGTGCGAGTGTTTGAAAACCATTGCAAAAAAAGCAAGTAACTTTCACGTGCAAACATCGCACATGAATTAGTTTGTAAGACTAAAATTATTTTTGCAATCAAGCAATAAGACTCTCTTCTTTGCCCAGCTCCGCGTGCATGCATACAAATATAGTCTAGTGCGGCATTGTAGTTCTAGAGCAGAGATCGGCAGCTTTCTGCGCTATATATTACACTTCAGATCTCGTTTACATGCTGATGAATGTTATATGCTCTGCCTCCTCTCCTGGACTCCTTCGGCACCACAACTCGATGTTGTGGCACAACGACTTCCGCTTCCAGTCTTCTCTTGGCCTCCTCGGTCGAGTTCTTCCCGATTATCGAATTACTCGGCCTGGAGTAGACAAAAGTAGTTTCCATGCCGTTGGATTGTCCGATAGTCGCCGAACCCTTCAACACGTTATCTTGAGCGCTCAGCAGTTGCTTGAATCGCTCGTCGCTTTTGTCGACTTGAACATCCATCATGCGTGCCGATCTTGAAGATGTGCTTGGCTCGGTTCGCTGTTGCTGTTCCTGAGGCCCGTTCTCCTTACTGGTCATGTTCAATTTTGGATTCAAATTGAGACCGAGCCACTGAGTAAACAGCGCGATACCCTGTTCTGCGCTAGCGGACACCGCGGCGATCAGTTCATCGGTGTTCAAAGTGTCATCATCATCCTCGGAGATATCGGCGGGTTCCGTCGTCTCTGTGATACTGTGTGGAAATATTTATAAGCAAAACCAACGAGAACTCTTGTTGAGATTATTTATTTAACGTTATAATTGTTTCTGTATAATAGACTACAAAGCTGCTTACGCGGATACTTCCACTTGTCGGACACCTTGATAAAAGTTGAAGCAACCCATGTGGTAAGTAGCTTGTGGCGCGCCTAACAAAGCCGGCTCGATCACCATACAACCGTCATAACCGCCGACGTCAACTTGTTTCACTGACGTAAATCGTGCGCAAATCTGCGCCAGATCCGACAGCAGATTCATGCACGTTGGCTTATTGGCCGCATTTGCTGCAAAGATGTATATAGAAAAGATTGCAAATTGAATTTGATCAATATTCGTGCAAATTGAATAATTCTATTTATATTATACATTATATATATTATAATAAATATAAAAATATTTATTTCATTTGAAATGTTTTTAATATTCAAGTTTCGATCTCAAGTTAGATAATTTAAAAAATCGCATTTAAATAAAATTTATCACGATAAATTTTATTGTCATTAACTTTTCTTAGACTACTTGCCGATCCTTATCGTCGCATTGTGAATGGGATTGTCGCCGTAGCTTAAATTCAAAGAAACATTCTGCTCCTTCTGCTTGATATTGACGCAAGCCGGACCGCCTAAGTCAATTGTGGTCGTCAGGTTTAGGTCAACACAGCACAGACAACCGGAAGTCTGGCATAGGCACTTGGACTGCGACGTGACCGATCTCCCCTCGACCTCCGGCAGATCCCACGAGAGCAGAGTCTCTGCGGGCAGGAAACACACGTGTATGTGTGTGAGATAAGGGACGGCAGAGAAACTCAGTAACAGAGAAATTGGAACAAAACGAAAGTAGCCGCCAATCGAAAGTTCAAATGGAAGCCGAATTTCTACGCGTTTCACTGCGCCACAAAGTTTCTTTCGAATTCTTCCACGAAGATCGAGATGACGAATCGAGTTATGACACTCGTAAAGCGTTTATTTGTGAGACCAATAGGTCAAGAAACTACACCCGGATGCTAAGTGTGCCAACGTAGATTTTTATCGGCTGACTTTCTCGCGCATTGTTAGATCGAGTTAGACAGTTTTTTTCTTTCGAACATCTTTTGTCAACTTTTGCGCACGATAAAGAAAAAGCGAGCTTACAATCGAGTTACGTAACTAAAAATGAAATTAGAGAACATATGTGTGTGTGTGTTTGTAGCTTCAATTACTAAATCTTAGTAGAAATTTTAATTTGAAATATATGTCTTAATAATTAATTTCGAAAGAGAAAATGATTTATCGTGCGAATTTGCAACGCTACCATCAATCTTAGTCATACTGACAGTCGTAACAAACACGTGCCGCGCGCGCGCGTTGAAATCACCCGCGCAAAAAGGTCGTAGCAGCGTTCTTAGCCGCGTTTCGTTCACAATGTATCCAATTAGCTCACCGAGCAATCCAGCGGACGCGACAACCACTAGCGTAACCATCAGCACCAAGATCGTGGCCCTCAAAGCCATGATGTGTTCTCTAGACTTGTCGCTCGCTCACTTGCGCTCTCTTCCCGGCGGAGAACGATCGGATTGTTTGACGCTCGCGGGATTGTTCGTGCTCTCGCGCGAGAGACGAACGGACTGGCGCGCGAGGTAAGATGATCTTCTCTTGGAGATCTCGCCTGGCAAAGAAGAAGCTTAAATCTGGACACGGCGCCGGTACCACGGGTGTCGGATCGCCGACCGGTCCCACAGTCGACACGAAAACAGGGGACAGGATTGGTCAGGACCGTTGCGACGGTGGGGCACCCGTCCGGCGTAACAACGATACGACGAGGGGATAATGCAAATCGCGCGGCGGGCAAGGAACTTCATCTGGGTGACCGGGTGACCTCTTTACACCACCAGAGGTGCCCCACGAGGCACCGTGCCCCTCCGCGACACCGTCGTGTCTTTGCGGGGTTCGAATGAGGGACGAAAGACGTTGGACTACTATTTTCCGCGGCATGGTGCCAAAAGAGGGCGATCTTCAGAAGCTTTGGAAACATATTAGCTACTATAATAGATGTACGATTCTCTCGTGAATTGTTGTCGAAAGCGGAGAAAAACACAGATGTATAGTTTGTCATCTCATAAGCATCTTCACGCTCTCGCGCGATTCCTCACCGTGAAGCCGAACGTCCATTAAAATGTCGTTGTCAACAAATTTTCTGTCGTCAAGAGATCGACAATTGTGATAAAAAAAAGACAATTTAATCTCTTTTTGTTGAACATTAATTACGCGTTCTCGGTAGTATCGAAACAAATCCGCTCCACTTTCAAATTTAATTATCAACATTACCGATTTCTTGTGCGTTGCTCTCCGCGCGCGCGCATTACTGCGCAAAATTTTCGCAAACTAGGGGAACACTCTCTAACGCGCCCAAAAAAAGACCTCGCGCGCGAGCGTTTTCTAATTTAATAACACACGCCACGCATCGCCGAACGTTTCTTTTTTTTCGCGCGAAAACCTTCTTCTCGGCTTTCACCGTTTGAAGAAAAGTCGCGATAGGCCGTCTTGCCATAAAATCACTTACGATTCCGGCCTATCGATTACACTGGTGCTCTTTTTCCGCGGGCAGGCGTGGGCGCTGTTCGCGCGTGACTGCGAGAGGAGAAATGGAGCGAAATGTGTGCTGACGTGACCACAAGAGAGTGGGCTGAGTGAAAAGACAACTCTTTCTCTCTCAAGCCAAACGTTTCACGCTAGAACAGATCTAATTCGATCGTTGCAGAACTAAAACCTTCACGTCGCTCTGCTTTTATTGAAAAATTTTATTAAACAAAAACCATTTGATGCAATAAAGATATGTTAGAGTGCAATTTTACAATTACAGGTACCTATGCTGCGCTATCAAGTTGCGATTTTTTTCCAGATTATGTAATTATACACGCAACCGCATAGGAATAACAACAGGTTGCAATTTAATTTATCACCGATTATCGCCGGGAAACTATTATCGGTTAGATAATTGCGCAAATAGTTCTCTCACGAGACATCAATGTTGCTGTCACGCGAGTCAATCCGTCTTAAGATAGGCTTATATACTATACTATCTGTTCAGATACGGGCGGTTTTTTTCACGCGAACGATGCAATTGCGAAGTGAAGAAGCCGAGGCGCAGCAACCGAACGACGATGATTATCCCAACATTACGTAAAAACTTGTTTGCCCCCGCCCCGGCCCCGGGATGGCCCACATATATTGCCGGATTATTCGTTTCGTTTTTTTGACTCATGTCCCATCATCAGGTTCCGATAGAACTTGACATCACATCGCTATCGGCGACCGGAGAACAAACGGAGAGACAAATATTAGTCAAGGTGAACCACTCCTGGTCACTACTTTCTTCGACCCACTAACCGGAGAAAGGCCCCTCCTTAACTGCCAAAACAGTGCGATTCTGTGGATCGTTCTGAGTGAGTTCCACGTGAGGAGAACGGACGTGAACGAGCGAGGCGCCTACATTAAGTTCGCACTATACTCGAGTCGAACGCCGCGCGTGTTCCGGATATTTTTCCTCTTTCTTCTCTCAGACATGAGACACCCGCGGAGACTGGACGCGGACGAAAGTGGGTCTTCGGTTAGAATTTGTGTCGCGCGAAGCGCGTATTCGCGACTCGTATGAGTTTACGGCGTCGTAGAGACCAATTGCAATTTTCACGAAAAAATTAGAAAGTGAGAAAACTTGGAAAATAGGACAATTGAAATGTAATCGCGCAGATATAATATTTCCAATTGTTGTTTATGTTACGGTTAATGTGTTAATTGGCTACAAAATAATTTGATGACAATAGTTCAACGTTAGAACCAAAACTGATTTAAAAACAAATTATTCGCCGAGCTTTTGCGAGAAGCAACAATTTTCGCAATATCTTTTTATACTCATCTTCTTACACTTAACATAATTTCTCATTTCTTATATTTTTATCAATTTAATTATATCCTAAACATTATATTTATCGCTTAGTTTTTTTACGACGATATTTTATGTGAACGAATGTGTGACATCGCCTGTCGCTTTTTCTAACGGAATCCGGACGCAATTAACGAATGACGGAAGTCATCGACGTGACTTCCCCTCTTTCGCGGATATTTTTGGATGGGTTGAATCATCCGACGTCATTTTCATTGATCCGTGGACCGCTTGGCACTATCCGGTTCGCGGAGAGAGATCGAGAGGTGGGTCCGCTTTCATCGTCCGAACGACGATCACATCATTCTCGTCCGATGAAGGACGACGGAATATCGGAAGAATGCGACGCGACGATTGGTGCGGAGCCGCTTCTTTGATTTACCTAGAGCACATTAGAATGTTTAATAATTCTAGCAGCGGCTTGGCGGCAGGTGGTGGTGGCCTGTGACCGACTTTTAAAGAAACCTTGGGGGGAGTTGGGCGGCATCTTCAGTTGGACATTGGCCTCCGTAAGACGAAGAGTCAGGGAAAAAGAGCCGTAGGGTGCAGGAGAGCACGAGCTGTCTCCTTGGGTTTCTTGGTGAAGACCTGCAGGTGGGTAGATTTGTCACATACAATTCGAGGATCAAAAATCGCAACTCCGTCAAGCGGAAAGTCAATATTTAATCATTTAATTTTTCGAGCAATTCTTAGTAATGCGTGTATTTTGTATCTATACGTGTGGTGAAGCTAGGTATTATTTTGGTGTTACACGTATAAAAACAAAATCGACAAACAATAATTTTTCTAATTTTTCCAGACTTTATTATGTTATGTAAAATTGACAGAAATTTTATTTAATACTTGCAGAATATTATTTGACAGATAAATTTATAAGAATAAACACTAATTTTAAAATAAGTATAATTATGTGTGTCACGCAAACATGTGTATTATTTATATAAATTTTAATTGTCTCTACGTAATCAAAAAATGCAAGTTCATATTTCGAAGTATTACGATTATATTCAACGGTCGATTTATCGACTTTTATTCGAACTTTTCAGTTCGAATGCCAATGTGTAACTTAGTCTCTATCGAGCACCTTGACCGTATATAACGTATTTTATAACGGTGACACGACAGACGTCTCCCGCGCGTAGAAGCGCACGTCTTCTTGATCGTGCCACTAAAATCCGTCGAGTTTCGAGCTGCACTACTCCGACACATGCCTTTGACCGTGACCGGGATTTAGGTCAACCGGTCGCCGACAGACGGGAAGAACTCGCCTTCCGAAACCGGAAGAAGATTCGTTTCTTTGCGCGCGCGCGTGCGTGTCTAAAATTTATTTATCTAAGAACTGTTTTAATTAATTCATTTTTTTACTTTATTATATTTTCTCATTATTTTAATTGATTATCACTTATTATAATTCTTTTTATATTAGAAGAGAAATAGAGTGATCTTGCACATTATTATTTTATCTCGATGATAGACAAACGGAAGATAGAAAAAATAGAAAATTATGAGCGAAGAAATATACGTTCAATGAAATTTTTTAATGCACTTGTGCGTGGAGAACTAAGCGCGCTTTGCGTAAAATTGAGGAATGTGATCTCAATGGTCGCTCACTGGACGAAAAGAGCTTTCACATAAATTCTAGTATTTGAATATATGAAACAAATATATACAATTTTACTAACATTATATGTATTTTTGCGAAATTCTAAAAATTCTATAGATTTATATTAGCTGATCATGTATTAAAAAAGCTTGAATTTTTAGTTAGTTTATATCTGCAAACCTTAAAAAGTAGAGATTCTCAATTTTACTTGTAATAGTAAACTTATAAAAAGAAGCAAAATTATATTCATAGACACGATTCAGAAATTCTCTTTTAAATTTAATATCTCGGATGTTGTGTTGTTAGCACGAACGTAGAATAGTTTGGTTTTTCACACGTACAATTTCCATTCACTTCTTTTATTAAAGTTGTCTTGAAAAAAAAAAATTATAATGAAGTGTACATGCTACCGCATACAAAATAGACATTTCTCACAGTAATATAGCGATCGCGATCTTGTCATTGTTTCCAGAATAAACGGAAGGATGCGACTGTCGACAATTTTCGAGCTGTTGCTTATTCTCTTGCTGATAGCCTTCGCGGCTTACGGTCGAGTAATCGGTAAGGAGAATAAATATAAAACCAAAAGTAATAAATTACATTTAATAAACATGTAAAAATATGTGTATACACATTAATCTCATATTTAGTGTTTTTGTATGCGACATTTGTAATATGTAATGTGTTACTTTTTAATGTTTTTCTATAATCTAAAATTGTGATATTTATTTGTTTTTTTTGCAAATATTTGTAGATCGCGATGAAGCGACACATCGAGTTGTTCGCGCCACTGATAACACAAAGCAAAATGACATGGACCTGACGATGTCGTTGAAACAGGCAACCGACAACGTGAACCGATATTGCACTTGTAATGAAAATATCTGTAACTGCTGTCGGGACTTTCACATACCGGTTGTACAGCTAAAAGGACCGGGTAATTACTCGCGCATAAATTAAATGTGTAGAAAAATAAAAAGTGCGGCGAAAACGCGGGCAGAATTTATTATCTTGCTATTCCGTATTTTATTGCTATTATATATTTTCAGGATGCGCTTCTTTGCAGTATCTACAGGGTGACAATTTGGCAGTCCAGCTGAGCTTCGGCGACAACATATTAACCAGCACAATCGTTAACGGTAAACATGTGCAGTAACGGTAACGATTACCAGCTTTGCAATTAGTGGTCTTCAATCGCTCATATTTTAAGAACTATTATATAGCTTTGTCATTTTTGTTATACGACGTTCCTAAGAGTTTTCTCTTTGAATATTATGCGGTAGCTGTGGGACACACTTTGTATATTTTATCCTAGTTTAATTTTATTACATATCTTAGCATTTAAATTACGAATTGTTTTATATTAAACTGTATTATGTGAAATAGTCTGAATTTATTGAGAGAGAGAAAATTATGTATTTTAGGTAAAAATCCAAAGCCTGTATGCGTACCGCTACCTGGTGGTTTTACCCATTTCTGCGGCAGAATTTATTCTATCCAACGAGACGCAAAGAAGCATTTCAAGGCTTGCCTTGGTCTAGAATTGCAGTCGATTACTGAATTGGAAGCAAGTCTTCGCGTTAGTTGTTTCAGGTATTAACATAAAATAACAATAAAAATTTTCTCATATTTTGTGAAAATTATGAAATAATATACAATAAAAAAATCACAAAATATATAACAAGTTTTATCTCAAACTTTAGATTTGGTCCAGAAGGTTTGAAACTCCGACCAGCCGAACCACTTCCGGTTGTTGAGACGGAAATTTCGGATGACGATGACGATGACGACGACTTCTTCGGCCTCGGATCGGATGACGATGACGACGACGACGACGACGAGGACGAAACACCTTCAGCGAATTCTGTTCCAGATGCATCGGGAGTTGGTAACGCGGAAGAATCAGACGACGATGACGATGACGAAGACGATATCTTGGGTTTCAGTGCTCTGTTTGACATTTTCACCGGCGACGATGATACCACGAAGAGACCTAGACCCACGACAATAGCGCCATTATTGGAATTTACTATACCTATTTTAACAAGGCCAACGACTTCCGCGCCGATTGAAGATCACGATTTGTCCACTTTTGCGAACAATGAGTTTGGAAATAACGATGAGGAGCACGAAGACAACGCTGATAAGACAGACGAAGAAAACAAAGATACGGAAGAAAATAAAAATACCGATCTGACTGAAAGTAACACCGAAAGTAACACCGAAGGCAGCACTGATGAGAATCAAGAGCAAGTCACAGAAGCTTCTAACAAGGTCACATACATTGCGAAACCCAATCCGACGAGCGTCAATAAAGTGAAGAAAGGAGTTGTCGGGGAGAAGAAGAAACCCACTGTGACGTCGACCAGCGTCAACGCCATTCATGATTCTGAAAAACCACCGAAAAAACCTGTCAAAGACGAGGAAGATGAAGACGATGATCTTGATGACGACGATATTTTAGATGACGATGACGACGATCTTGATGACGAAGACGACGATATTCTCGATGACGATGACGATAAAGACGATGAAGAATTAGACGAAGAGAATGATGATAAGGTAGACGACGAAAAACATGAAGAAGACGATGATGATGAAAACGAAAAGGCTGAGGATTTTGTTGATGATCTAGATGACGATGACGACGAGGAGGAAGATGCGATGTTGAGCGCTCTTATAAGCACCGGGAAGAGCAAAAAGAACACGGAAAAAGCGACAAATCAAACTATTGCTGGAAAGCATAATAATGAAAATGACGGTCTGGATCTTCTGGCAAGGGAGAGACATCCCAGTGGAAATCGTCAGAGCAAGATCACAAGACTTTGAAGTGTACAGAGCTGTATAGTCAGTAGGATATAATTGGAAGTCGAAAGAAACTCGTCTTTGTCTGTCGCGAATTTTTGTTGTTTTGACAAAACTCGAGAAACAATTTGTCAGATAAACAAAAATTTATTGAAGATAAATTCAGTGAATTGGCATAATTGTGATAGTGCAACTTACTTTTAACGTTCAAAATTATAAGAATTGTTTTTTTGCATTTTAATTGTTTTATAACATGACTGTTATATGTTAAAACTTTGTGTATATAATTTTATAATTTTTTATATTGTTAACAAATAATAATTTATTATTTCACTATCATAGTTTCCTCTTTACACGCTCTTGATTTTATTAAAATGGAGACTGACATGAGAATTCACGAATCGAAGATAGAGGAACTTGTTTGAAAAAAACTCAAACAGAATTGCGTGAAAAAATCTTTACATTTAGGAAACACAATTTCGCAATGTGAGATTTTGTTGTTGACAAATGATAGATGTTATCAAGACAGATTTACATATGAGTTATTTGTGACCTCAGCCATAATAACTTGCTCGATTAGCGTATCGTTATTTGTTAAGAGCAAATATTTATGACTTACTGTTCGTAATTAAGTATTTATTGACGCACTGTAATTAAATGGAATTAAACAAATATAATTTACACAATATTTTTTATGCACCCTTGTATCTTACTATTCTTGTGCAAATTGTTTTTTTTTTAAACAGTTGCAAGTTGTGCAATATAACTCATCAGATTAGTATAAACAAAATAAATTTTAAGTAGAGCAGTAGAGTATTAATTTAAATTGATTTGAGAGAATTATATCAACTTAATGTCATCTTCTGCTTCTGAAATAAGTAATTTGACACTACTTATTATATTTTAAATAAACAGAAGTAATTTTTTTATAATAATAGTTAAATATACTATGACCTAAATTTTAGTTTTTTTAGTTTTTTTATTTCACAATTTAATCGTAAACAATTTCGTTTAATAGCAGCTGTGTACATACACTTGAGCATACTGATATAGATTTGTAAAGAAAGTTGATGCATAATTAATAAGCTTATGAACGTTTCAGCAGATAATGTTTAATACGTGCCCAATTCCAGTCTGCTGTCAGCGTTCAAACGTGAAGGTTGTACAATCATGCTACACAAGTGTGTTTACGTATCTCTTCTGGTTCTGGTGGTCCAAGATGTCAGCGCGAGCATTGGCTTTATTGGTGAAGAGATAAATATAAATTATCGTTATTTGTTATTTTAAACAAGACACGTACATTTAGATGACAAAGAATTGCTTTTTTTTTTAGATTTATCCAAATTTGACATGATATATTACGATCCAAATACACAAATGGGGTTGAAAGCGGAACTTGAAGATACTAGTCGTAATCCTTTTCTTAGTCCTTCGATTGGCTTTCGTGGAGTAAAATGCAATTGCGAAGGTCTGGCGTGTGGTTGTTGCACCGGTATCAACGTGACTGTCTTAAACTTAAATCGCCGTTCTTGTGTTAATTTTACTTACATACCCGAGGACTTCGCCATCCGCCTCAATTTGATAATGAACGATAATGTAATTTTTAGTCCTACTTTTTCTGGTGAGTAAATTTAGTTTATAAATTTGATTGATATAAAATACACACATACACACAATTTCTCGAAAAGAATAATATCACATCTCTTTAACATTATTATATTATTATCTTTTTAATATCTATTATGCAAAAGAATGATGTATGTCCGCTTCCAAAGATAGAAAATTTCCAATAAATCGATTTGCAGCTAAAAATCCTGCGCCGCTTTGCGTGCCTTTTTATACTCCCTTCGTGTTATTCTGCGTACGCTTCTTCGATATCTACACGTCTGGAAAAAATCTACACGTGTGCATCGATTTTGAGACACGCGTGGTAAACTGGCCGATATTGATCTTGCACTTTGATTGTGTGAAACTTGGAGCGGACGGAATTTCTTGGATGAAGCCGGAAGACAATGATGAAATGATACTTCAGACAAAACCGGGCGAGATAGAAGTGTATGACGAGGTGAACTTTGAACCAGATCCTTTAAATAATAATTCATCAAATACATCTTCTGAAGATGATGATCACATCGGACAGTTAAAAGTATAATACATATATATTTACAAAACATGTATATGATTATAATACATGTTTACAATTACTATACATTGTTTGTTAAAAAAGTTTATTGTTTTTGTTTGTTACAATTAAATGTATCTTATTATTATATATAAAATATATAATGTATGTACGTATGCATAAATAAATATTTGTGAGACACAAAAAGGCAAGTAAAAATCAATCGCTGATATTTTGTTTTTTTTGTTTTTTATAATTTTCTTTACGAATTAATTTTCACAGATATATATATATATATATATAGACAAGAAATTGCGGGATAACAAGCGACGCTTACGGATCTAACTAACAAAATACTATTTATAGATCAACATTGTGTTAACAACACAGGAACATTCCAGACAGTAATATAATTGTCATAATTAATATTGTAAATTATTTTTTACAATATTTTTTTGTGTCATATTTAATGTCAGAAAATAATTAAAAATATTAAAAGATAACAAATGACTATAACACTGACTTAAAATTGTTTTCTGTATTTTTTAAATCGTTTTTTGTCATATAACAATTGACAAAAAAACTTGAAAAACTTGTCAACATTTGAGAACATCACTACTTCTTTTTCTATAACAAGTTCTAGTAATTCAAAATGAAGTCAAGCCTAAATTTCACCTTAAAACGGGGTCAACATGAACTGTTAACCGGCCAGTCGAGTTTCGATCGTCTTGCAAAGAGCACATCTCGAGAAGATGTTCTCTCATCTCGATTAAGCGCCGGGTAAGATCAAGGACACAGGATGAAAGTCACATGCTGGTTGCTACCGTTACTAATTGCTTCTCTCGTGCGATCAAGTTCGCTTTTGAAATTGACTAGTGACGAGGATCTTTTAACAGCAAAAATCATCAGCAGTGAGATCGAAGGACTTTCGTCGCGAGAAGCTCTAGAAGAATTGACGACACTATTGAGACAAGCTACAAATTCTTCAGCATCGGGAAATGGCACAGTCACCGCGACCAGACAGGGACCTTGTCAGTGCGGCAGTGGTGTTTGCGGATGTTGTTCGAAGATTCTGTACGACACGTGGAAGCAAAAGGCTTGTGTGAACATTACATACGATGCCGACGAGTTCAGCTTTACCGCTAAAATTTCCATGAATGACAGAGTTTTGTACACAAGAACTGTTTCTGGTAAGAGCGACAATTTAACGTGTAAATCAACAGCCAATTAATCGGAGGTTTTCTTAAATTAAAATAATACATTTCTACATCAAAATTTTTTTCAAACAACAGAAAATCGTTTCATTTATCTTATTGTACTAGGGAAGAATCCTAGACCGATATGCGTTCCTGTTCCAAGAATACCGGTTATCCGAGCGTGCGTCAGATTCTATAACATATATTTCCAAGGCAGGAATATTCATCTATGTGTCAATATGGAAGGAAAGTTTCGAGATACTGTATTGTTTAAGGTCATATAAATATATAATATATTAATTTTGTCACAAGAAACATGTATTGTATTTTTACCAATATAACAAATAACAATTTTATTCATTAAATTAATTAATACTTATCATGTGACGTTTTTACACATGAAGAAAGTCTTGCTTCATAATATGTAACATGTTTGTTCCCACAGGTTAGCCTAGACTGTCTCAGATTTGGTGCAAATGGATTAGCCATTCTAAAGCCAGAGGATGGAGGTGGTTTAGGACAAGTTGAACTTTTGCCAGAAGGCATCATAAATGATAATGCTGACGATTACGATGACGAAAATGATGATTATGATGATGATGATGATGATGATGATGATGATGATGACGACGATGACGATTTATTCTAAGAATATGTTTTTGGCAAATAAATTTTTATGTATTAAGGGCACAATAAACTATGATGAACCAGAAACTTGTTTTTTTCAACAAAACTTTACTCTCAGTATTCATAAGTACAAATAAGTATGGGTTATATATAATTACACATAAAACTAGACAAAATTTTGCAATGTAAACACGTTACCGTTTTCTCTCATACTTCCATTTATAAATTGGAGCAGAGTCTTTCGAACCTTGTTTTATTAATTTTGGTTTCGTGACTGTTTTGTCTTTTAACGCTTTACGAATTTCTAGCTTTTGTTGTATAATCATTAATTCGCGTTCTCTATTAATTCTTTTTTCCAATTCTTTATAAGCTGTGTGTTTTGCCTGCTCAATCTTCCTGATAGTTTTTTCATCTAATTCTGGCAATTTCATATTCTTAATTGCACTTAGTGTTGGTTGATTGATGCGTCTAGACAGAAGTGCTGGATGTGTGTTTAATCTCGTAGCAGGATTAAAGTTTTTTATCTCCTTGTCACCATCCACAAAGAAAATGTGTCGATTTGGCGTCTCATTGGCTACATCAATCATGTGCAACCGGCTCTGCAACTTCTCTATCTTTTTTGTTTCAATATTTCTTTTATAAATTATATAGTTTAAATCCTGTGTTTCCATCAACTTGATCTGTTCAGGTGTATGTTGATCCTCTTTGTCCTTTTCTCTATGAATACCATCAATTAGTTGTGAATTAATCATATGAAAATGAAATTCATCTGGATTCTTGTTCAGCGCCCGCTTTCGCAGGAGCTTGACCGTTGCTTGCTTCTCTTGAAAGTCTCTGGCTCTGGCAATATAGTCTTTTTTCTTTTGCAGCAGGCCTAGATGTTTACGAGCCTCCGGCTGGTGACGTTCTCGATGAGTCTTCTGACTCGCTTTTGCAGCTTTCTTCCACGAGGACATTATTATACTCTATGTAAAATCTAAAACCACAGTCGGAAACTCATAACCTATACAACTTATTGTATGTATACACGCATATGTATGTAACGTAAAAGTGAAGAAATTTGTACACTCTTAATCGTGGAATATTAATTTATTTGTACACTCTTAATTGTAGAATATTAATTTATGTTGTAACATACCCTTTTATATTAACTGAAGAAATTTCTATCGTTTCAAACAAAACCTAACTTTAATATCTTTAACCAATTCGTACGCCTTGCATCCTCTACATAACCTCACATTATTTCTCAGTTGTCACGTTGACGATCAATAGAACTCAAACTTTTTTGGATTTACAGAGCACTGTTACCGACTGTTACAGACACTCAATATTAATTACATACAATTTTTACTACAATTTATTTACTAGATCGCATGACACTGAGTCACTTGCTGTGACTTTGCCGTTGAGTATATAAATATTATAATTATTTAATTCGAATATCCAGAAATAAAAAAAAAAAGTATACTTAATAATATGTTACGAAAGTTTCTTTATTACAAAATTTACGATAGAAATATATAGAAGAAGAAAAGTAACAAGATCAAGTAACAAGATCAAGTTGTAACGATTACAATAATAGTTAATATTTTTACATAGAAACAAAAAACTGCAAAAATGTGATTCGAGTATTTATCAGTCTCCAATAAGTTCGCACGCATACTCACACACACGCATAACTTAACATTTAAACATTTTACTTTATACGTTTATACAAGGTGTTTCTAAACCACCAAAAGATATTTTAAGTGCTAGTTTTACGCTGTAATTGATGATTTTTAATTGCTTATCTCTCAATCCTAATCCGTAATCTTTGATACGAACTTTAGAATATTTCAAAGAATTTGTCATTAAAATCTTCCAGTGAAACATTCTATAGATATAAGTTTTAGACATACATGTAATTCTCCGAATAAATTTTATCAATTTTTAAAAATTCAGTTACTTTGTTTACGCAATATGTTTTATATTTGTATAGAAAACTGAATTGTTTATTCAGTTTGCGAAGACTGATGAGCTCTAGTAGGAAGCGGAATAATTGTGTCGCGTACTGTTAAAGAACCTTGACTAAAAACTTGCGTTTCTGTAGATACTCCTCTGGGCGATTTTGACACACGACTCTCCCGCATTCTGTCAATCGGCTGACGTCCTTTGATCATCGTGTACCACGCTTTGTGACGTTTTGCTAGAGGAGTTCTGGAATCCATTCTTGTGGTTGGTTCGCTGACTTCGCGGTTTCGTTTACCAGGACGCGTCTGGTTGTTGACGGAGGATGTAGAGACTTGATCGTCAGTCACTTCCTGTGAAGTTGTCGATTTCGTAATAATCTTTTGTTGCTCGACTACTTCGGTTCCTCGAATACTTCTTCTTGTCGGATTGCTCAAAACTAAAAAATAATAATTAGAATTATTAATAGAGATAAAGTATTAATTATAATAATTAATAAATTAAATAATTTTTATAATTATACAAAACTATAGTTTGTTTATTGTCTTTAACAATATTTTTGACAATATTCGTTTCAATACTCAAAGTTTTAACTCACTAGAAAAACTCTTGAAGGCGTGTTTCATAGCTTGCGCGACAGCTGTCAAAAATCCACCATTGTTGTTACTTTCACATTTCTGCACAGGTAACGACGAAGACGACAGAACTTCTTGATGAGTCGTAAGTTTCTCTTTGTTTACTAAATAAGTATCGACAGTTGAGACGCTCATTTCCATTTTCAAGATAGATCTTCTACGTACATTACCACTGTCTAAAGATTCAGTCACACTCGGACATGACTGACAACTTGTTGATGCAAGCTGCTCATGCAGCTTCTGCAGACTTGAACTAATCAAAGGCACGAGATCGGTGCTCAACATTCCTAAATATATAAAAGGAAAATAAATCATAATAATTGTAAAATTGTTTTCACAGATCTTGAATAAAAAAAACACATACCTGAGTTGTTCTCCATTACTACCATCATCAGCATCCTGTTGGAACTTTGCTGATTCGTAACTGATGAGTCACTAGTGCTGATTTTCTTATTAGGATTTTGGTTTTCTTTTTGCGTTTTTGTGGTATTGTCAAAAATCTGATCATCTTTCTGCGTGTTCGATGTGTTGTTCAAAATAATTTTAATATTTGAATTAGCTGAAGAGTTTTCCAACGGTTGTTCTAGTAAAGAACACTTTCTCTGTTCGTGACTGTTTTTTGTATTCTCTGTATTTTGTTTATCCTCTATAGTCTTCGCACTTTCTGTAGTTTCTTCTTTATCTTTCTCTGTATTTTTCGTGTTTCGTATATTGATATCATGAGCGTCGTAAAACTCTTCTTCCATCGATGTATCCCTCATATGAGACTCCTTCAGACTTTCCATTTCCGTAAGGGAGTTAAACTGATCGGAAAACCTCACTTTCTTTACGACATCCAGCGCTCTGCACAATCTTTCGCGAGTGACATCTGACGCCAGCGAGTCTTGCAAAACAACATCAACATTCGAGCACGTCAGATCCGTATTTATAGTGGAAGACACTCGGTTCTCATCTGCAACTATCTTCGTATTTATTTTATTCACGTCCTCATTTTGTTCCTCCATGATGTCCAGGTTTTTGACGGAATTGGAAAACTCGCTCTTGCTGATCAAAATAGGCGTTATATTATCAATTGCGCTGAAGAAATCTGTGTCGCCGGTGTTAATGTGCTGCGAGGACGACTTCGCGTTACTCTGCGTGATCGATAGCGAATTTGATTTCGGCGTTTTCAAGCTGAAGTTTGGCACGCAAGGTGTATGATATTCAAAACTGGTCTTTTGCCCGACAAGCATCGGCGTACTTGTTTTCCGAAGGATTTCGGATGGTGTGATAAATCTGCTATCGTCAATGTCGCTCAACAGACACTGATTCGACTTCTGAAGTTGGAAACCCGTCGGCGATATGAAAGACCAATGTTGAGACTTCCACTTGCATGCGCCTAATTGTAAGATTTATTTTTAAAAAATGAAGTAATAGGTTTATTGTTGCAAAAAGATTTTTTCAGACTGATCTGTTTGACAAAAATACATTTTTTTAAACAAAAGTTTAATATTTGATATAAGTTTAATTTTATCGTACAAATATAATTTGTGTAATTTTAGAATAATGCAATATATTTAAAACTTTATTCTACATAGCTTTAATATAAAAAAAATTGTAGTTAAAATTTTAAATATTAAATAATTGAATAATTAAATAATTATCAATAATGGCAGCACATATATCTGTGAATAAGACCAAATATATTCTATAGTTTGTGATTTTTCGGATGAATTTCAAAATTGTACACTTTTAATTACCGATGGATTGCAAATCTTCTAATGACTCGAATAAGTCACTGCACAGCTGGCAACGTAACGGCAAGTGCTTTTCAACTATATGACACAACAATTTCTTATCCTCTAGATCTAATTTTTCAAATTCGAACTGTCGCATTGGCAGAGTTTTAGAAGCGCATAGTGAACAATTGATGTTCAAATCGGGATGTTCCTTACTTGTATGACGATTGCGACATTTTACACAACAGAATACTTTGTTGCAGAAACGGCATGTTCGCTCGGCCTGTCAAAAAGCAAAATTTTTGGAAACTGACATGCACAACACACTTGCACTAGTTACCCTTGTTTCTGCCCATTTCTTCATATCCATGATAGATATCGATTGCCGCGCGATCTGATGTTTACTGAATAAATTCAACAAGTCATCAGAAACGTTCGCGAAATCATAATATATACAATTACGTACACACAAAGTAGATAAATATAGAACGCATAATCTTAAATTATCTTATCTTATTTACAATCATCTTCAATTCATCTTAGAAAGCTATACGCGTCGTCTCATTGGTTACAGGCTACAGAACTTCTGAAAACAAACTTGATATTCGACATAGCTGTAACAAGTAATACAGCCGTAAATGAATAAATTAAAAAAAAATTGTGTTTGAGGACAATATAGAACTTCAGTTTGTCTCAGATGTTTTAATTAACGTTTACACACATGGTTGTAAACCATGTGTGTTTCTAAAACTACAAATATGTAATTATTTCTCTTAATAGATATTCAAATTTGATAAATCATGATTACAGGACGTGTCAAATATAGTGTTAAAGGGATACATATATATGCACATATAAAATATTTTCCGATATTTCAGTTATTATTAATTTTATTCTTTATCTTTGGATATTGATAAATTTTTTAAAGCGTCAACAGTTGTTTCAGTATCATTACAAGAAACTTTGTCAGGTACTTCCATTACGAGTGCCTCAAATACAGACATCGCATTTTCGTTTTCGACTATCGTACTGATGTCAGCTTCACTAAAGTCAGTATTGTGATCCAAGACAAATGCGTTTTCTCCAGCCTTTTTATTTCCTTTCAAAGCCAATGCTTCCTCGTAAGGCGGTGCAATGGGGGATTGCACTGGTTCTCGATATTTGTATTCTTTCCCTTCGTACTACGAACAATAATAAAATCGAAACATAATAAAATGTAAATGAAATATGAAAAGATGATACGAATATAATTCATCGAAAGAAAAAAAATAGTAATTATGTTGATACTTACATTCAGAGGATAACACGTGTCGGAATCCAGTTGATTAAGATCTCCACATACAACAAAAGGGACAATAACCCTATTTATTCCTGTCAGCTTTTCAAAATTGCAAGGCTCATGTGTCAACAAAGGATTAAGCATGTGTGGCTGATAACCTTCTGGCGGCGAATATTCTTTACAAACTACAAATGCCTCAATACTTGAGTTGCGGGAACTGCTGGGTTTTGTGCAGTAAACATATGGAAAAAATATCCTTAATTGAGCATACAATAATGAGACATCTTTGGCACGAAAAATCTTTGCCACAAATGTTCCACCAGGTCTCAAGATATGTGTAGTTATGTTCAGAGCAGCCAACAACAACTGTGATTGAATAAATATATCCATATCGTGCAGACCAGTCACTGTAAGTAAAATAAAATACCTATGTATATACTCATTGCTCAAATTTAATAAAATATACAAAATAAATAAAGTAACAAATAATATAGACACCATCAGGCGCTCCATCACATACAACCAGATCTGCTTTAGTATTATCAAAGTGGGCAATAATATGTTCTGCTGTCTTGGTGTTGGTGATATCACCTTGAAGCTGAATAACTCCTTCTAAAGGTGCCATTGCTTGTAGATCAACTGCCACAATTTTTGGAGGAGAGGCATCTTCATCTTTTTCTATAGCTTTTTTATAATTTTCACTGAAAAAGACAAAAACTATAAGGTTTATTTATAATCACAAATAAGAAATTAAAGTTTTTATTACATGATATATGTGCATACATTTCCTCAAAAATTTTACTTACTTCAGCTTGCAAGCTAACACTTGACTCCAACTTCCAGGTGCGGCACACAAATCTACTGCTTTAGACACTCCTAAAAAGAAATGAAAATATCTTTGTGTACATAACATTATTAAATACATATTTTACTTTCTCTCTTGTATTTGTAACTTACCATCAAAGATGTGACATTCGGTATCGATTTGAAGTAATTTAAAAGCACTTCGAGCTCGCCATCCTTCTTCTTTTGCTTTTCTATAATATATATCACGTTTATCTTTTGATGTTTTTCCCATATTTTTAAAATACTTTTTACAAAGAAAATAAAACTTTCTGCTAAGTTATCGTACACTTGCCAACTAGTATTCAGTTTAGTTCAGAAACAAGAGCGGCCAGACTCAAAAGAGTTTTTGCGATTGCTTTTCCGTCCCGTAAGCTAGAGCATGTCCACGGGTGGTGCACATTAGCAACTACGTAGCGATGTCCACGAGAGACTTGTCGATACGTACGCAATGTTCAAACGTGGAAATGATTCTATTCCGTGCTATGTGCGGTAGACACGGTTCTATTCCGTGTTATGTACACGTGCGTCGGTATACAAACTTGTATAGCAATATACCGGGTGTAAAATCAAGTTTGAACAATTGAACTATAAAAACAATGAGCGCTTTTTATATCTATATTTCGTCAATTTATGTGATCGCTTTTTACACTTTAAATTTATTAATGCTATAACATTTAATACTCCAACGCCAACGATTTGACATTGGTGGCGAAAAACAAAATTCTATTTATTAAATTATATTGTATCTTCTCTTATATAGTTTATTTGACTTTTATCAATATAATAACTTGCGTTATTTACATTCTACGTGCAACATTATAACATATTTCATCGCTTTGAATAGAAAGCATGTATAAGTACAGAAGATTTAGCTTTAGCTAATTTTGAAGGCCGCAGCTAGCATTATTCAACTTTGTCGAAAGATAAATGCGTTATCAAGTAATAATGTCGTATCATATGTGAGTACATTGCACATGTATGTATGTGTACAAAATGTTCATTTCTTTTAAGATAGCTACCATGAGTAGACTAAAACAAAATGTATGTGAAAGCGCCCTTCGCTGGTCGGTATAAAAATAAATTAATTCATCACGATATTATAAATAAAATATCATGCGTAACATCGAAGGTCTTTGGTTAATCGTGATTCTCTTTTTTCTCTGTTGGAAATGTCATTGGAATCGACAATGTACTTATTTTAATACAACATTGATACCTCTTACTCACATTAACAAGTTAACAGAATTGATTGTTCCGCGGATGAAGTCTATTGTAAATTTAATTAGTATTTGAAATACTTGAACTTTTCTAGAGAAGATCTTCGCGATAATTCACATGCGGATTTATCTGCAACATGATGTATTTATTTATCAGTTACTCGATATCATTTAGGTTTAAATGCATTGAACAAAACACATCGTGTCTTATCATGTTATGACAATTGTAAATATGCTTGACACAGTAACTTTTATCTGTTGTTTTTAAGTTGTTATAAAATATAAAAACTATAGTTTAGTCTCTAAGAGAAGAAACAATTTCTTCGGAAATTATCCATAAACCTTAACTGAAAATACGCAACTCAAAACAATCAGACAGTATCATAAATTTAATAACAGTGTTATAAATTAAAGTTTTGTAATAACATGCATATAAATAAATGTCAGCATCACTGTCATTGTAATATAACAATAAATAATACATATAATAATAATATATATAATAATATATAACATTAAATAATACATATTATACATATAATTTATTATATATTTATAATATTATACTTTATATTGTATTATATGTATTATATACATACTAAAGTAATGTCACTGATCTCCGCTGCGCGACTTTGGCGGGATCACTGACCTCGGCCGCGCGGCCTTGGCGGGGCACTGACCTCGGCCGCGCGGCCTTGGCGGGTCACTGACCTC